AAAGAACGCCAAAGTCATTCTTAAAATCTATTATAGTCCGGAATGCCGGAATGGATCTGTTGCTGGAATTTCATGATTCGGAGTGGAAAGTCGTCGATTTTTGCCACTTGGCGGACAGACCGAGCGGGATAGCGAATTGAGAAAGAGAGTTTAGAAGAGAACATGAGAAGTAAGTACGATAGTAGGAAAAGTAACGGATGGAAGACGGGGAAACAGATAGAAGGGTACGTGAAGAAAGATCGTATAGGAAAGAGCTCGCATCTGCCAACGCCGGAAGCCAGTTCGTTACGGTCCGTCGACTCGTATAGAACAGGAATTTTCCAATTTTAAAGGCAGATACATCGTCAGACAATCGCAAGAGCAGGAAAGAGAAAAATGGCTAACGCATCGTAGTCGAGTGATGAGATGACGAACAAATCAAAGTATCAGTATTTTTTTTTTCTCCTTCTCATTATACGAAAGTAAAGTAATATCTTCAGCACAATTGAGTGTAAAAATTTATGAAAAAAGAGCATTTATTTATTTTTAAAAAATAGAATGTAATAAATATTTACTTATCAAAGAGATAAATTCATTGCATTTTAATCAATTGAAAATTGTACTGATAAATAAAAAAATGTCTCGCGAAATACATATTTCAAGAGTTTGATCAATAACAATATTATTTTTTTATGCTTAAATATTATCTATATAGCATTGTAGTTTCAGTTTAAGAAATCGTTAACGTTAACTTTGCGCTAAGCTTTGTTCGTTGGTAGAAATTTATGTACTGTAAATTTATGTTATTTAACCCTTTAGAAGATTAGAACTTTCTAACAAAGTAACTTAAGGAAAATCTATTACTTTCTAAAAACTTTCGAGGTCGTTGAATTCGATTCTAGTCTCAGAATTCTAAAATTCAAATTTCAAAAACCTGATCTAATTATCGTGAAACTTGGGTTTCAGAAGATTTTTTATATTTCTGAGTTTGAATGAAATCTAAAATATCGAATTTCAAAAGGATAATAAAAGGAAGATCCAGTTTCACAAGATTCATAATCAGAATTTGAAAGTCAGTTTGGAAGTCGGGTGCGTTAACTAAATATCTACTGATTAGCTTCAAATATAGCAAAACTTGATGTTATATTTTTCAATTAAAAACTCTTTAAAACCGAGTTTTACGATAATAAAATCATTTTTTTTTTAAATTCTATTCGCTATATTAAAGCGGCTAATTTGAATTTTTGTTACATTGAATTCGAAAAAGCATTCAGATTAGACCAAGTTTTATAAAATTTGAACGTGCAATTTATAAAATAAAAAGGAGTGACGCCAAACGAGAGCATCAGCCCACAAAAAGTTAATTGATTGTAAAGAGTGTGACATAATATTCTAAGAATATTAAACATTTTTTAACAATGCTCGTATTTGTAGTAAAATTTAATTGACAATATATCTTAGTATTCGAGAAATTATTCATCGACCTAATTTAATTTCATACTCAATGAACGAACTAATATAATTTGCGCGTCTTTCATGCTTAGTAATAAAGGAATCTTAACGTAAGATGTACAAAGAGCACAACGTACTTTTCATTAAGGGGTGGTTTTCCAGTATCGCTTCTTCTAGGCGTCCTGGGCTCACCATTCTCGTCTCTATAGAAAGCGTATAAGCTCACAGAAAATCCTAAAGCGTGCAGGATCTCGTGTTTAACGGTGCTGAGCAACGTTTCCAACTCCTGTGGTTTCGTGCTGATGCTTCCCGGGCATAGATTGGCATGACCAGCTATCGGCCTAAAAGCAATTTAGTTCGCTTCAGCAACCGCGAAATCTTCTTTCGTTTTTATTTTAATTATTGAGTCTTGTAATGTGGCGTATCAGTTCTTCTATTATTATTTCCTTGGAAAATACAAGAGTTCATTAAGATGTTTGCAAGATAAATATATGATTAATGAGAGAATAAATTTGCATAGACATAAATGCAGAATTTTCGCAAAGAATATTTAAATTAATATTAAAGCTGTGCAAATGCTGTATGTTACGTAAAATATTTTTTCACGCTCGAATATTTTAAGGATTTTTCCATAAGCAAGCGGTAACGCACGAATATCGTCGATCTATCACGATCAGACGTCGTGAGAATAATAAAATTCGCGCAACGCCATTTACATCGACCGTGGTACGACGTGCGCGACGTATGTACTTGACAGACAAATTTAATCTACTCAATATGCGTTCACGTTTCGATAGAGTCAAAGTTAGACGTCAAATCACGTCGAGTTTTGCTTCTGCAATTTTCGATTATAAATTCGGTCCTGGAAAATATTTCCTCGATTTCGAACGACTCGTATAATATGAATAATCTATAATTATGGTAATTAAGATTTAACCAAGATAAATAAATTATTTGTTCTTTACTCTTTAAATTCTTTGGAGTAGAATCTCACTCCAAAGAGTAAAAATTCTGCTACTCTTGAAAAAGAGTGGCAGAATTTTCAATCTTTAAAAGTAAGATTTTACTTCGAATTCCACTCTTCAGAGTGAGATTCCATTCTAAAGAATTTAGAGAGTATATTATATCTTATTATTACGTATAATATTATTTTAATAGAACTGTAGCAACTACTGTATGTATATAGAAATAAAATAGAACAATTTAAAATAAAGATAAATTTAAATAAACAAGACGTTTACTGCTTAGAAATAATTTGTTGTGTATAAACACACAAAATAAAATATCGTTTTAATTAAAATTATTAATATGAGAATCCGCCATTGTTAAATCGCTCGCTTCGTACAAACAATCTCTCTTATAAATCTTGTCAAATATTTAATCCGACGTTCTCATGAAATATATTCATGCCAGATGGTGTTTGCCTTCGTCTCTACCCTTCCGTTTATACAAATAGCTAAAATTGCGCATGTTTCAATCATGACGCGCACTTGTTCAATGTATTAATGCATTATTAACGACGTTCTCAAATATAAAAATATCTAAAACTAAATTCACGTTGCTAACTCAATAATACTTTTTATTTTATTATTAACGACAATGTTAATGGCAATAGTGTGCGAAACTTTTATTAAAAATATTATAGCACTAGTTAAATTTATACAGTTTATAAAATTGTTAAAGATTGTTTTCATCGACTAATTAAATTTGAATTTACCGATCCAAGGCTGCTTCCTGTTGACAATGAGCAGCGTAGGCTACTGTTAAGCCCTTGTGACATCTTTCAGTCTGCATGGCGGATACATAAAAGACAAAATCGGCACCGTCGATTCCCGGACCAGCTTTACTTCCTTTAGCTATTCCACAATTATGTCCCGTCGCATTACACGTTCTGCAAACCTATAAATGTGCACATTTGAGGAAAACATAAAAAGATGTACAGTAAATAGACATAGAATTATTGTTACTTCAAAGAAATTAAATAATTTTCAATTTGGAAAAAATAATTATTAATCAAAAATGGAAAAATCTCATATCTTTTGAAGAATTTTACATTGACATAAAATGAAATTATAAGCAACATTGCTCATCGTAATGAGTGTCAGACACACAAAATATTCTAAAGAAGATTGCATCCTATAAGCAACGAAGTATCCGAAAACATTAACGCTGACGAACCGGAGCGGAATCGCATTACCGTCAAGACACCTTCGGCGAGGAGGTAAATAATTTTACGCCGTCAGCAAATATCGTCAACGACAAGGGTGATGACGCTCTAATAAGTTATCTGACACCAATTCGCCTCTCAGGGCCACTCATCAATTAGCGCTTCTCTCATTTTCAGGGTGCTGTCGTTAAAGCATATCTCCTTAGTACGAGTCTTAGTAATCGATCAAGATAAAGTGTCAATAAAATATCATATTTATCGATATACGTGATCTCTCATTTCGATATACGTGATCTACTTGAAAAAATATATAGAGATCTCCGTGGAGAATATAATCCGTCATCTCACACAAAAAAAGTAAATTTTTTATCAATTAAATTTTACTTTATATATTATCAGCAATAAGTTTGTAATTAATATTTGCGGGTAATTATAAATGAATAGATTCAATTACAGTAATCATAATTACTAATATAATCTGTATATATCGTTGTAATGTCATTATAATGTTTTAATAATTTAAATTCTTTAATTTTTTAAAGATATATTCTTTGATTCTTAATATTTAGTAAATCAGATTTAGTAAATCGAGAATATCCCGAATATAATTATAATAAATTTTAATGTTATTAAAAATCTAATATTAAAAATACTGAATTGAAGAAGGATCTGACGTTAAAAATACACTGTATGTATATACTTAATAATAAATAATAAAAATGTTCAATTTTTTAATATATGTCAAGTTTTATGTTAATCGCATTAGTCTAATTTTGATATTTCGTTATAATTTAATTTAATTAATTAAATTTAAATTTAATCTTTAATTGAATGATTATTCGTTCTTTATCATTAACGTTAAATATAAATTCCTTTTTATTATAAATTTAGTATAACATATAGTCATTTATATTAGATGGATAATTACAAGAATTATCCACTTAACGCAAATTATGCAAAATAAATCAAAATTTACTATGCAGATTTCAAATTCTATTTCAAAAAATTCAACATCAAAGTATAATTATGAAAATTTTAGATAACATATACTTTCAATATAATTAACTTTTTTGTGCATAATACAATAATTTAAATAGATAGGATATTTTTCCAAACTTAATGGTTACAAAATTACAATAAGGTTACAAAGTGTATAGTAAACAGAGCAATAAAATGCAAAATACTCTAAAAGCATATTTCTATCTTTCTTTCATAAATTATATTGTAGATTCATTAGCACAGATTTTCAATCGATTATTCTTTAATAAGAATTTAAATGGACATATCTTTTCTAATTTTCAACATGGAATTTTCAACAAAAATTCTATATTAAAACGAATATTATTTGAAATTTACAAAATAGAATTTTTGCTAAAATATAATCATGAATTTTTGACTATTTTATATCGTAAACAACAAATAAATAATTCATAAATTCCACGTGATTCCCCAATGCCCAAAATACCTGTACCAATGCCCAACTATTCCTTTGACTGGCTCCGATATTTATTGCACGGTTTAACTCGACTTAGGGAACTTATCGGGTAATTACTTACGTCAAGATGGTCTTCCGGGACGCGTACTTCACCGCACATAGTAACAGGACGGCAAGTATCTATACAGTGTGTGTGGTGGTCCTTGACGAAAACTTGACTACTCTCGCATTTCCTGAAAGCATACCGAAATGCCGGAAATTATTCACGGAAATAAAGCTCGTCAGAATTAGATTCTGAAATATCGCGTTTCCACAAGCGTAACATACCGAAAAGTGTTCATAGAAATAAAGTTCGTCGAAATTAAATTATAAAATATCGCAATGTTAGACAATTAACACGCGCGTTGAAATAGTTTAACATATTTAATATAAATTTTTGATGTAAATTAACTTTACTTTCTGCAGGACATTTATTCTATAAATCTGAAAATACAGAAATTTCAATATAAATTTCCATAAGAATTATGTATACTAAATTTTAATGTACATTCAGTAAAAATGTTTTATATTGTATTCGCATAGAGACCTTTTACAAATATATCTCGTTCTGAAGGAGAAAATAGTTATCGAACTTTACAAATAAAAGAAATAAAATTTTATTTTTCCTTTCTATTAGACACACTGTCTAGAAGAACTTGCGCGAAATTATTAGTCATCACTTTTAAAAGAAAGCATTTGAGAAAGTCGAGTGAAATTGCGGATATTAATGAAAGAAAATCAGAAAAGAGTCGCTTTTAATACGAAGGAACATAAAATAATTACAGAGATCCGCGTTATATAAAATAGATTAACTTGGACAAGATTAACTTAAATTAATGGCAGTGTAATGACACTAATATAATTACAGATATTTCTATATCAGACATTAATTTACGTTATATTATCTTCTCTCATCCGTATTATTTCTCAAATATATATTTTCAAATATGTAATTTAATTAAATGATGCGTCTGTGTATGGAAACGTTTTCACATATGCATGTGCCAATAAGTATTCAAATGAGAGCTTCAGATTAATATTCTATTAAAGTCTACTTGAAATTAGTTCCTGTGTAAACGTGCCATGTATATGTAATACAGCATGATAATATTGACAAAGTTTATATTACAATGAAGTTGACTTCACACACTCTTCTCTTTTTCTAAAGCACTATATACCTTCGCGTACGTTTTTGAGTGGTATTATCTGACGAGAGTCAAAGCACGACAGCGACGCTGCTTCGGGACATCCCGATGGAACTGAAATGGCTATTGCAGGACAACGTTGTTCCATCGACGACGGACGATATCGATCTAGTATATACTTTTATAAGGTAAAAGTGGATACGACTATATCAGATACGATGGTGCTACCGGCAAGCAAGGATAAAGAGGGCTCTAGGGAGAGGTGAGAACTAAAGAGAAGGTGCACTTCGCTAAATAAACGTCGTGCCACAAGTATGTTCGACATTTCTGGTAAGAAGACGTTCTCGTTGATGTTGTCGAAATTGAAAAAAGAATATGTACCTAGTTGTAAATTTTTTCATAAAAATAGAAATTAGTTAATCAATTTCGACATAGTATGAAGAATAATACTTGTAACGTGTAATTACCTTGTCGCAAATTGAATTCTAATTAAAGATAACATGTTATCTAAAAACGATTTTTACAATCTTTCGATACGTGTGTCTTTTGTTCGTTTAATTGATATTTTTTATTGAAAGAGATGTATTAATTACATCCTGATAACATTATGCGTAAAATATCAAAGTCAGGAAAATATTATGAATATTAAATTTACTATAAATGATTACAATATACGCAATATATATTTAAAGCTATAATAAGAGGTGCGGAAAGGGGGAAGAGAATTAACCAAATCTGATATCATGAATGAATTGGTTAATTTTCGTCAAACAATATGCAGATAATGTTAACATCCAATATTATGCGACATTGATCATTGCAAATTGGATGAAAGACCGAAGGAATTAATTTAATTGCATCATTAATGAGAAAAATGTCTATTATTAATAATGATATATAATGTAAACTCTGCTAGTGTACAAATTTTGCACTATTTTACAAAGAAAAAAGAAATTAATTTCCAGTACTAGTTACGCGTGCAACTTCAAAAAACTCTTAATTGTTTACTAAATTTTCAACTCCAAGAGATGTATGTCAAATGTATAAGTCGCTAATCAGATTACGTTTTGGTCGAGTTGATTTGTGTAAGGCAAAACAGTTTTCTGATTCCATCGAGAAATTCTAGATTCAGATTGTCGATAAGGACATCTGGTTGTTCGAAACTTTTAAAGAAAAATTGTCTAATATGTACCATTCACAATAAAAATATTTCTTGCATTCAAAGATCATGATGTATAAGTCTTTCAATTTCTCGAAATTTACGATTTCGATTGTGTGTAACGCCGAGTTTCGAAATCGATCACGTCGTCCATAGGAAGAAACGCTGTCCGTAAATAGTACAGTAGTTTCCAAGCAATTTACTGTTCCGTTAAGAGTATCCTCCGGCTACTTCTTCTTGTGCCTTCCTTGTTCAAGATCCTCGCAGAGAAAACGGAGGTGCGACTTAAACCGTTTCTCTATTGCCGACGCGAGATACATTCTTGTCAAGATAGAATCTTGCAATTTCGGGGACTTCGCAAAGTCGGTTCGATATCTCTACCAGTTTTTCGTGGAAATTATGCGCATTTTCCTTTCCCAAAGGAAGTAAAACACTTCAAAATGTTTGCTTATGAGCGAGCATGAAATGTGCAAAATACTAAACTTATTTTTTTATCTTAATAATTTTTCGTTTTGAGAAACAACTATCGAGACATCGATAGTTCAATCATATGAATCAGAAGAAATAAAAAATTGTCCTACATTAAGTTTTAGCGGCATAAAGTAATATTTATCATTTAATTCCGAGAAGAAAGTTTAATAGAATTTTTAATCTAAAATTTAATATTACACATATCTATATGTATTACAAATTCAGAGAGACGTTTAAAATCTCAAATTCTTAATCATATTAACATATGATATTGATTCCATTCTTTAGGTATAATAATTAAAAAATATAAACGACAGAGAGAAAAATAAATTACTGATTCTTCAATAATGAAACTTTATCAATTTATACGTGAGATATGAGACCAATATAATTTTCATATAATTATATCATGTCTAATCCTTATTTATTAAAAATTTATTTCAAGCATATTTATTATGTTTTCTCTTTCATGCTCGAAACAATAGCAATTTATTTTATAATAATTGCTTCATATTTGCCTAACGTACAAATTTAATCCAACATGGAAACGCGAGCTTACAGAGTAGCGCTTAATCCCTTCGGGATGACGATTGATCCCATCAAAATGACGTTCGATCTCATCTAAATACACACATATGTGCAAACGATGAGTAAGCGAAAATCTTCTCTGTTATGGTAATCAGTGATACGTTACATTGGCAAAGGAAATACATATCGTAATTACATAATTATTATTTATACAGTTAATGCATATAAAGTTCATATAAATTGTAATTTACGCGCATGCTATTCAAAATTAATATCAATATAATTTTTAATTTCAAAATTTAACCCTTTGAGGATTGGAGCTTTTCAACAAAGCAATTTATGGAAGATCTATTTCTAAACATTTTTGATTGAATGCTTTTTAGCTTCACAATCTTAAAATTAAAAAATTAAATCACCAAATTATCTCGTAGACCGATTTTTATGAAAATTGAGTGAGCAATTTACAAAACAAAAGAAGATAATTCCAAATGGGATCGCCGCACAAAAGGTTAGCAAAACTTCAATGCCATCAAAAGAATGGCAAAATTCTTTTTAAATATGAGATTCTTTTGTATTTTTATTATATATTAATGCTGAAGTTTAACTTACTAATTAAGAACAATATTTTTTATATTATGCTATATAAACATTAAATTGTACAAATATTTGATCATACGCAAACGTGATTCTATACTGAAAGCGTACAGTCGTCGCCGGACTATCCGTAACTTCTTTGATATCGAAATCTTCGAAATTTGGGAATACTTTTTGACATGACAGGGACGAAGATGCTGATGGTGACTTCTAAAGAACTTTATCGTTCAGGTAACTTAAAGGAGTCCCGAGCACTTTGAAAGCACCACTCCGTTGCACTTACTCGGGACACGTAATGCAGTGAGTACGGATTTGTTGCAGTGACACGCTTTCTGCATTACCAAGAGCTCGTTGGGTACCGACACCAACCCAACATCCTTCGGTTCCTCTGAAGATGTATAACAGCTGGTGGAAACCACACGATTCACAGTTATCATGTTCGAACGAAAAAAAATCAGACAAAAAATTAGCACATGGTTTTTAGATCTATAGCGAGACGTGTGTACCTTGTTTCCAAGTATATTTACGAGTATGTCTAAGGATGCGTTCGGGGAGACACTATTTGTATCATTCTAGCCTTGTTGTACATCTAATGAATGATGAAGATAGAATGACACAAATAGTACTAATAGCGTCTCCCCAAACAATTACAATTTTTTTTAATTTTTTTTTTTAACAAGAAATCCTTAATTGTCTGATGGCTTAGCTTAATGGTGACTTAGCTTATAGACAGGCCAAGCATGTTAATTTGATTAAAGACATATTTATCTAAATATAATATAAAAGTTCCAAAATTTAATTTCAATTTTAAGCGAATAATAGAAATTTCATTAACACTATTATAACTTATAACGTGCCGCAAACTCTCGCAGCATTCAAGTGATAATGTTCTTCACTTAGCGCTCGAGTCAGCCTTTGTAGCAAACATACCGAGAGATAAAAGCAGAAGGCGTTTATATGCGCCTTATGCAGTTTATATGCGCGTGTTATATAAGTAAAACTCTATACACGCATATATATATATAACATATATATATACATAAGTAACTGAGAATGCTCATTTTCCTTTGAAAACGGAAATCCGTTATATTCGTCTTCTTTCTGCATCCTTTCAGCCACAATACCTTACATTCTCCTTTGCTGCAACAATAAGTGTTAATGTAATTCTACAGCCACTTTAGTATATGTGTATGGTGTGTAATCGTGCCATCTCTTCTTCATGAAAATTTAATTAAATTTGCTGAGTTTTTCGTATTGATTTACAGTAATGCTGTAATATATTTTTCACCTTATCATA